CGTCTATAGAGACTCGCTGGCCTTCAGCTCGTCTATAGAGACTCGCTGGCCTTCAGCTCGTCTATAGAGACTCGCTGGCCTTCAGCTCGTCTATAGAGACTCGCTGGCCTTCAGCTCGTCTATAGAGACTCGCTGGCCTTCAGCTCGTCTATAGAGACTCGCTGGCCTTCAGCTCGTCTATAGAGACTCGCTGGCCCTTCAGCTCCCTTCAGCTCGTCATAGAGACTCGCTGGCCTTCAGCTCGTCTATAGAGACTCGCGGCCTTCAGCCGTCTATAGAGACTCGCTGGCCTTCAGCTCGTCTATAGAGACTCGCTGGCCTTCAGCTCGTCTATAGAGACTCGCTGGCCTTCAGCTCGTCTATAGAGACTCGCTGGCCTTCAGCTCGTCTATAGAGGACTCGCTGGCCTTCAGCTCGTCTATAGAGACTCGCTGGCCTTCAGCTCGTCTATAGAGACTCGCTGGCCTTCAGCTCGTCTATAGATACTCGCTGGCCTTCAGCTCGTCTATAGAGACTCGCTGGCCTTCAGCTCGTCTATAGAGACTCGCTGGCCTTCAGCTCGTCTAAGAGACTCGCTGGCCTTCAGCTCGTCTATAGAGACTCGCTGGCCTTCAGCTCGTCTATAGAGACTCGCTGGCCTTCAGCTCGTCTATAGAGACTCGCTGGCCTTCAGCTCGTCTATAGAGACTCGCTGGCCTTCAGCTCGTCTATAGAGACTCGCTGGCCTTCAGCTCGTCTATAGAGACTCGCTGGCCTTCAGCTCGTCTATAGAGACTCGCTGGCCTTCAGCTCGTCTATAGAGACTCGCTGGCCTTCAGCTCGTCTATAGAGACTCGCTGGCCTTCAGCTCGTCTATAGAGACTCGCTGGCCTTCAGCTCGTCTATAGAGACTCGCTGGCCTTCAGCTCGTCTATAGAGACTCGCTGGCCTTCAGCTCGTCTATAGAGACTCGCTGGCCTTCAGCTCGTCTATAGAGACTCGCTGGCCTTCAGCTCGTCTATAGAGACTCGCTGGCCTTCAGCTCGTCTATAGAGACTCGCTGGCCTTCAGCTCGTCTATAGAGACTCGCTGGCCTTCAGCTCGTCTATAGAGACTCGCTGGCCTTCAGCTCGTCTATAGAGACTCGCTGGCCTTCAGCTCGTCTATAGAGACTCGCTGGCCTTCAGCTCGTCTATAGAGACCGCTGGCCTTCAGCTCGTCTATAGAGACTCGCTGGCCTTCAGCTCGTCTATAGAGACTCGCTGGCCTTCAGCTCGTCTATAGAGACTCGCTGGCCTTCAGCTCGTCTATAGAGACTCGCTGGCCTTCAGCTCGTCTATAGAGACGATGGCGCTGGCCTTCAGCTCGTCTATAGAGACTCGCTGGCCTTCAGCTCGTCTATAGAGACTCGCTGGCCTTCAGCTCGTCTATAGAGACTCGTGGCCTTCAGCTCGTCTATAGAGACTCGCTGGCCTTCAGCTCGTCTATAGAGATCGCTGGCCTTCAGTCGTCTATAGAGACTCGCTGGCCTTCAGCTCGTCTATAGAGACTCGCTGGCCTTCAGCTAGTCTATAGAGACTCTCTGGCCGTCTGTTCGTCTATAGAGACTCGCTGGCCTTCAGCTCGTCTATAGAGACTCGCTGGCCTCAGCTCGTCTATAGAGACTCGCTGGCCTTCAGCTCGTCTATAGAGACTCGCTGGCCTTCAGCTCGTCCTATAGAGGACTCGCTGGCCTTCAGCTCGTCTATAGAGACTCGCTGGCCTTCAGCTCGTCTATAGAGACTCGCTGGCCTTCAGCTCGTCTATAGAGACTCGCTGGCCTTCAGCTCGTCTATAGAGACTCGCTGGCCTTCAGCTCGTCTATAGAGACTCGCTGGCCTTCAGCTCGTCTATAGAGACTCGCTGCCTTCAGCTCGTCTATAGAGACTACTCGATGGCCTTCGTCGTCTATAGAGACTCGCTGGCCGCTGCCTTCAGCTCGTCTATAGAGACTCGCTGGCCTTCAGCTCGTCTATAGAGACTCGCTGGCCTTCAGCTCGTCTATAGAGACTCGCTGGCCTTCAGCTCGTCTATAGAGACTCGCTGGCCTTCAGCTCGTCTATAGAGACTCGCTGGCCTTCAGCTCGTCTATAGAGACTCGCTGGCCTTCAGCTCGTCTATAGAGACTCGCTGGCCTTCAGCTCGTCTATAGAGACTCGCTGGCCTTCAGCTCGTCTATAGAGACTCGCTGGCCTTCAGCTCGTCTATAGAGACTCGCTGGCCTTCAGCTCGTCTATAGAGACTCGCTGGCCTTCAGCTCGTCTATAGAGACTCGCTGGCCTTCAGCTCGTCTATAGAGACTCGCTGGCCTTCAGCTCGTCTATAGAGACTCGCTGGCCTTCAGCTCGTCTATAGAGACTCGCTGGCCTTCAGCTCGTCTATAGAGACTCGCTGGCCTTCAGCTCGTCTAAGAGACTCGCTGGCCTTCAGCTCGTCTATAGAGACTCGCTGGCCTTCAGCTCGTCTATAGAGACTCGCTGGCCTTCAGCTCGTCTATAGAGACTCGCTGGCCTTCAGCTCGTCTATAGAGACTCGCTGGCCTTCAGCTCGTCTATAGAGACTCGCTGGCCTTCAGCTCGTCTATAGAGACTCGCTGGCCTTCAGCTCGTCTATAGAGACTCGCTGGCCTTCAGCTCGTCTATAGAGACTCGCTGGCCTTCAGCTCGTCTATAGAGACTCGCTGGCCTTCAGCTCGTCTATAGAGACTCGCTGGCCTTCAGCTCGTCTATAGAGACTCGCTGGCCTTCAGCTCGTCTATAGAGACTCGCTGGCCTTCAGCTCGTCTATAGAGACTCGCTGGCCTTCAGCTCGTCTATAGAGACTCGCTGGCCTTCAGCTCGTCTATAGAGACTCGCTGGCCTTCAGCTCGTCTATAGAGACTCGCTGGCCTTCAGCTCGTCTATAGAGACTCGCTGGCCTTCAGCTCGTCTATAGAGACTCGCTGGCCTTCAGCTCGTCTATAGAGGACTCGCTGGCCTTCAGCTCGTCTATAGAGACTCGCTGGCCTTCAGCTCGTCTATAGAGACTCGCTGGCCTTCAGCTCGTCTATAGAGACTCGCTGGCCTTCAGCTCGTCTATAGAGACTCGCTGGCCTTCAGCTCGTCTATAGAGACTCGCTGGCCTTCAGCTCGTCTATAGAGACTCGCTGGCCTTCAGCTCGTCTATAGAGACTCGCTGGCCTTCAGCTCGTCTATAGAGACTCGCTGGCCTTCAGCTCGGTCTATAGAGACTCGCTGGCCTTCAGCTCGTCTATAGAGACTCGCTGGCCTTCAGCTCGTCTATAGAGACTCGCTGGCCTTCAGCTCGTCTATAGAGACTCGCTGGCCTTCAGCTCGTCTATAGAGACTCGCTGGCCTTCAGCTCGTCTATAGAGACTCGCTGGCCTTCAGCTCGTCTATAGAGACTCGCTGGCCTTCAGCTCGTCTATAGAGACTCTCTTGGCCTTCAGCTCGTCTATAGAGACCTCGCTGGCCTTCAGCTCGTCTATAGAGACTCGCTGGCCTTCAGCTCGTCTATAGAGACTCGCTGGCCTTCAGCTCGTCTATAGAGACTCGCTGGCCTTCAGCTCGTCTATAGAGACTCGCTGGCCTTCAGCTCGTCTATAAAGACTCCCTGGCCTTCAGCTCGTCTATAAAGACTCCCTGATCTTCAGTTCGTCTTTAGAGACTCCTTGGCCTTCAGCTCGTCTATAGAGACTCCCTTTCTTCAGCTCGTGTATAGAGACTCCCTGGCTTTCGGCTCGTCTGTGGAGACTCCTCCGGCCTTCAGCTCGTCTATGGAGACTCTCTGGCCTTCAGCTCGTCTATGGAGACTCTCTGGCCTTCAGCTCGTCTATAGAGACTCCCTGGCCTTCAGCTCGTATATAGAGACTCCCTGGCCTTCAGCTCGTCTATAGAGACTCCCTGGCCTTCAGCTCGTCTATAGAGACTCCCTGGACTTCAGCTCGTCTATAGAGACTCCTGGCCTTCAGCTCGTCTATAGAGACTCCCTGGCCGGCAGCTCCTCTATGGAGACTCCCTGGCCGGCAGCTCGTCTATAGAGACTCCCTGGCCGGCAGCTCGTCTATAGAGACTCCCTGGCCTACAGACCGTCTATAGAGACTCCCTGGCCTACAGAGCGTCTATAGAGACTCTGGGGCCTTCAACTCGCCTATTGAGGCTCTCTGGGCTTCAGCTCGGAAATAGAGGCTCTGTGGGCTTCAGTTCGTCTATAGAGACTCTGGCCTTCAACTCGCCTATTGAGGCTCTCTGGGCTTCAGCTCGGAAATAGAGGCTCTGTGGGCTTCAGCTCAGAAATACAGCTCGGCTTTAAAGGCTCTTTGGGTGTCAACCCACATATTAAGGCTCTCTGGGCTTCAGCTTGTCTATAGAGGTTTACGGATAAAAACTTTATAAGTTTTTCTCTAGCATAAACATACGGCTTAGGTATTACTGTTCCATTGGAAAACCGTTAGTCTTTTCTTTTATTTGACAACACAACCACATTTTCATATGAGTATCTGCTTTTTTTCAACTTATTTTCTTGTGTTTCTTCTTCTGTTGCTGCCGTTGTTGTCATCTCCTGGTTGGCAACTTTCTCATGAATATTGTTAGGGTCTTCTTCTTCGTATGAAGTACAAAGTGAAAAATAACAACAACAAACTTACGCTATGCGTTTCATAGTTGTCTGCCTTAACAGCCGTGGTGATGGCGGCGGCGACACCAACATCTTTCAGCCAGCCACCCATCCATCCAGGCATCTAGTAAGAAACTTTAAGTGTTTCTTGTAACTTGAGATTTTAAGTGTTGTTGTTGGTGTTGTTTTATTTTCCCTAAAGAGGAGCGAGAGGAAAAACAGAAAAACTTGCTAGTAATATTAGATTTTCAGGAAAATTTACATTCAAGAAAAACAAAAAATTTGATAAAAAAAATTCTAACAACTTTTCTGTGATTAATTTGTCTAATTTATTTTATTTTTTTCTTCTTCCCCCTCTCTCTTTGCAGTTTGACAAAAATCTACAAACAAATAATTAAATAAATAAAAAACCAACAGTTTCTACGCGTTTTTTTTCGTTCGTTTATACGGTTCGTTCGTACGTTTTCGTTTTCGCCAACCGTATTGTGATTTTTTTGTAATTCGGTGTAATCGTGGAAACATCAAAAGCCAAGCGACATAATATTGGTGACATCGTCCAGTTATCATCTCCAGCAGTGCGCCGCAAACGGAGGGTAGGGCTTATCTAACGCTGCTGCTAACAGATGAGCCCCAACAACACATGTCAATTGTTGCAGCCGAAAATGCAGGGTAAGTTGAGGGATATCCAATAATTTGAAATTTTATCCTTACTTGATATAAAGATGATGTTCTACATTGCTTCTCTAAAGACTGGATTATTAAGTTTGAGGAACATTTGTCTTCAGCTCTAAATGAATAATGAAATCTCCTTTTTCAGTGCTAAAAAGATATTCTTTTTCAAGAACGCTCGAAGACTGTCTTCAACATCAAGTCTATAAGGACATTTCCCTCGCCTATAATGACTAGATTTTGCAATCCCTCCCAGCCTTTTTGAACCCCTTATATTTCATCTTAAAATGCGACCCTTACAGGGTCTAGTTCAGATCGAATAAATATCCACCTATACATATTGTAGACCATCTTAAAATCTCCTTCTTCAAAAACCCGTCTGTAAGGACTTCAGTATTCCAAATGCCCTTCTATAGCAAATAGTCTATAATACTACCTTCGACAAGACTATTTTGAAGATCCTCATCATTTTATTTATGTTCACATCCAAAGAAATTATTTTTTAACTCGCCAAAGAAAATTGTTTAAAAAAAGCTCGTCCAAAATGTTACACCTTCTGGTCTGGGAATATTCCTGTTTCAGCCCCTAGTGTATAATACTTCCCAAGTCAGTCCTTCGCTCGTAACGATTTTTTATGTACCTTCTTCTTATGGACTCTCTTCTTTATGTCATTTATAAAGATCTTTATCGAGCCTGCCCTCGAATAAAATAACTTCCTTTTTCAGATGTTGTTTAAGTCAGAGATAAAACAAAAAGAATATTCTGAAGAAAATAGTAATTTTTTATAAGCTTTGGGATAGCTTGCCATAGAAGACTCTCACCTTCAGCACGTTAATTTTTAAGCTCGACTTAAAGCACCCTCTTATTCTATTTCCTTCTTTGAGTCATCTACTAAGATTCCTTCTCCAGATCGCCTATAAAGACTTACTTTAGTAGTTCGCCTATAGACACTCCCATGCCCTTGTATATATAGATTGCTTTTTTCCACTAATCTATAAAGACTTCCCACTTCTGATAAATGATCATCCGAGCGAGATAGTCTAAACCGATTCCCTACTTTGAATCGAATAAAAAAGATCTTCCCTATAGATTCTCCTCATCCTTAAGAGCATTTTTATAGCTCTATTTTAAATATTCATTTGTAAGTTTGTCTTTGGAGAGTCCCTTCTTCCTCTCCTTAATGGTTGAGACTCCGTGCACTACAGCTCAGCTAAAAAGACTTCATATGCTACCGCTCGTCTATAAAGATTCACTTTGCTGCAGCTCGTCTGTAAAAGCTTCTGCTGATTAACAAAGTCTTCCTGAACATTTATAAAAGAATCCCAGCTCGTCAGCACTTTTATAAATACTCCCACCTCGGCAGCCCGTCTATAAAGACTTCCTGCTCGGAAGTTCGCCTATAAAGACTCCTTCCTCGCCAGATAGAAGGACTCCTGCACTGATGCTCGCCTATAAAGGCTCCCTGCTTGACAGCTTGTCTAAATAAGAATCCCAACACCGAAGCTCACCTAAAGGACTCCCTGCGCTGCAGCTCGTCTATAGAGGCTCCCTACACTTCATCTAGCCTATACAGACTCCCTACACTTCATCTAGCCTATACAGACTCCCTGCCTATTAAGACTTTCTTTTCTAGAATTTGTATTTCATCAACTCGTCTATAAGAGTTGGGTTCTTTTTAGATATAGCATATATATGTTTCATCCGATTTGCTTTTTAGGCCCCTGGCTTTCGTAATATGCATTCGACAAATATAATATTTGATGCTAGATATCAGATATATACCAGAAATACCTCTGCCAAATTTTATCAAGATCGGTTCAGATCGGTTTTTCAAACGATTTCGGGTTTTTTTGTGCACCAAATATCCCATACCAGTCCAAATTACCTGAATTTTGGCACATCCGACCGAATTCTGTCTCGAAGCAAGTACATCAAATTTGGTGAAAACCGGTTCAGATATAGCTATAACTCCCATGCTATTTCATCCTTTTGTTACGGGAGCTCTGCTAAATATGCATAGTGGTGTAGGGCCCGCCCGACTTTTGACTTTTCCTTACTGGTTACCTTTAAAACAACTATTTTTCAATACCTCGTTTCTAAGAACTCCCATATACGTCTTACTTAAGAATTTCTTTCCGAGAGCCTTTTCGAGGTCTTTTATTAATGGCCGAGCTTCTCGAGATTTATTTGTGAGCTTTTGTATAACTTTTTATGGTCTCCTGAGGAAGAAACCCTATTTTCATTTCGAGGTCTCCTACAAATCGAAGACATTTGTCATAAATAACGAGAAGTATCTCTAAATTCGAGGCCTTTCTTTTTGGTTTTTCTTTTCATATATGGCTTATTAATAGACCCCTGCCCGAGTGTCAACTGTTGTCGAAATTTGTCTAAATTTTGTGGCATATTGTAACTTTAACCTAGGGAGGCCTAAATTCAGCTCCCAAATATTCCAAAAGAAATTAACTTAAAATAGTTACTCTTCAGACCTTTTTTTTAAATGAAAGACTCGTACAAGTCTTTTCTGGATAGAAGAACTTTGGAGGAGATTAATTTCATGACGTGCCATCAAAAAATCGCATTACCAAATAATGGGTGCAGTAATTTATTACATAACTACCTAGTAATCTATTATTTTAAATTGAGCACGCCATTCGCCAAATATGAAATCAGGCTCCTGATGAGAAGATTCGAAACAGTGATCTTATGCTTTGCACTCCGAGTGATATCGTTTCTGCCTAATTGCTAAGATGACTGGAAGCCATTTTGTTTTGCCTTTTTTTGAGAATAACCCTTTATCTGCTTTCCTACTGGTAATGCGGAACGTATGTAACTGTCATTACAAGTAGTAGTATAAGCGGTCCATGTCATTCGGAGCAGTGAGCTTATGCTTTGTATACCCTTAGGTCTTGTTTCCCCCAATTCGCTAAGATGAAAGAGAGCTATTTTATTTTGCTCTTCTTTGAGAATAACTCATTATTTTTTAGCTTACTGGTAATGCAGAGGGTATGTAAATGTCATCACTGGGATCTCCAGTTGGATTTTTTTAAATTTTTTCATAGCTAATGGAAAATAGTTTGCAGTGGAATGAAATTTTGCTGTTTTGCATTTTTGTGGAACAACTCATTATTTTTTAGCTTACTGGTAATGCAGAGGTTATGTAAATACCATCATTTGGATCTCCAGTTGGACTGTTTTTTTTTTTAATTTTTTCATAGCTAATGGAAAATAATTTAACGTGGAATAAAATTAAGCTGTTTTGCATTTTTGTGGAATATCTCATTACTTTTTAGATTACTGGTAATGCAGAGTATATGTAAATGTCATCATTGGGATCTACAGTTGTTTTTTTTTTAAATTTTCATGGCTAGTGGAAAATAATTTGCCATCAAATGAAATTTAGCTCAGGGTTCTTCCCTATTTCGAATTGTTTGCATTTTCAAAATTGCGTCTTTTTGAAACCAAAAACAAAAAAAAAAAATAAATAAATAAAACAAAATTTCTCCTCCCAAAAATGTTAAGTGTGTCAAGTTTATATATGAAATGAAATCATTAAAATTTGCCAGCTCATTTGTGGGCCATTTGTTTGTTTTTGGACACAAACACACACATAAAATATTTACTTTTGTTTTTAGGCCAAAAAATAAATTAAAGAAAAAAATCCAAAAAAATAACAAGAAACTGTGTTTTTTTTTATAAATTTTACTAATGATTCAGTTTTGATTTCTCAGAGATCTGAACAGCATCACATCATCACTGAAATATTTCTGATATTACAATCAGAGACATATTCCGTTTTCAATTCCAAGTACATATGTACTCGTATGTATATATGGTTGCCTGTAAGTGGTTATTTACAATCAAAAGTAATGATGATGAGGTTTTAAAGTTGAAAAAAAAAGTTTCATTTTTTCGCGCTTACTTGCCGCTTTTGTCTCTGTTTGATACGCTGGAGGAAAAAGTAAAATTACAAAAACACAAAAAAACGCTGACAAACGGCCTACTTTCACTTTCTACTATTTTATCATCAGAAACCAACCACGTTTGTTTCATAGCTGTGGCTGGTGTTAGCTCGCTCGCTAGCTCACTGACTGGTTGGCTGGCTGGCTAACAAGCACAAACACAATGAATATAAAAAGCGTAACTAAAACTAATCGAAAAAATGAAAAAAAAAAAAAAAATAGAAAATCAAACTAAAAGTAAAATTGGCGAATAAACTCTCTAACTAACCAAAAAGGGGGAGGTAGGTAGGGAGGTACGTAGAAAACAAAATGTAATGAGAGAAAGAAAAGAAAAAATCGAAAGTATTTTTTCCAAACACACACACAAAGAAAACGAACACAAAGCTTACATTTATTGCAATTAAACAATTAACAATTTGTTTACGTTTGTCTCATTCATAGTTGGGCGGCTATTTCAAGCTCGTCTGAAAGACAAAAAAAAACAGATATTCATAACAGCAGACTTCTGATGTAAAAAAGAAAAAAAACTGTAGCTGTAACTTCGCCCGGGCCGAACTTTGTATACCCTCCACCATTTGAAACTAATTTGGCAATTCTCAGAAACAATAAAATCCGCAAAAAATTCTGTTAAAAAAAAAATTCTGTAGCTGGTATATTAGGGTCTATATGACGACAAAAGGTAACTTTTGTCATAAGCCATTGCCATATTCAAATGCGAAAAATCGGTGAATAATGTAGCTAAAATTATTAAAATACCGAATATCGGGAGGTACGGTTATATGGGAGCTATACGAAGACGTGACGCTGCACAGACAATCTTCTGTCTTAAGCTGTAGTATCCCTTACGAACTTTAAATACCAAATTTTGAAACAATTCCGTTGAATAATGTTGCTAAAATCATTAAAATACCAATTATCGGGAGGTTCCTTTATATGGGTGCTATAGGAGACGTGGACCTGCACAGACAATTTTCTGGCTTAGGCTGTAGTATCCATTACGAACTTCAAATAGCAAATTTAAAATAATTCAGGAAAAAATGT